TGCTCTACACATCTGAACGTCCAAATTCTACTGAGTAGCACTACTAAGTGCGCCAGTGTTCTCAGTGATCGAGCTGCAAAAAAAACAAAAATGCGACATTTTCAATGTATCAAAGAATTCCGATCTTTTTTTCGTAATCATTCCAAACTGAAAAAGACAAGATGCTATGTCGCTCCAGTTTCAATATATAAGAGAACACTAGACACACAATCATCAAGGCTAATATTCACAGGAGAAAGTGAAGGTATCTGTCAACTGCGGTAAAAAAATACTTCTTTCACATATAAAAATTGAGATGCAACAAAAATATTCAGACTATTACAAATGCAAATTATTTTTTTGCCCTGAGCATCGTACACCTTACTGGGCTTTCAAAACCGCACTGACTATTCGAAACTTGTTAGACATTTCACAGATTACGTGCTATTCCATCTCACAGAGGTGAAGATATACAGTGGTGCTCCTTATTTGCATGCCTCTTGTTACGTCCCCAAATACTTGATCTAGTCAGCGAACACGGCTCACGGAATTAGAAAGGGCGGTCTGAAATTCACAGTCATTGCATTAAAGAGCAAACACGAAGCACGTGCACATGGTTGTGTTGATCAATACTCGTGCATTCGGCAGAGGAGCCAGTCCCATGGGGTCGGACGGGAGTGCGTTTCTATTAGTTACAGGACATGACGTGGTATGATGTGAAATAAAGCTGCATTACACATGAGTTATAGGTCGGCTGGCGAGTATTCAGTTTTGATTTTACTGCTCTGTTCTACTGAAGTCTGCAAAGAGACTAAAAAGTAGTTGTTGGATTGTGTGCAAACGGTGTTTACTTCCAAACACATCAGTTATTTTTTACTTTATTTGAAATGAAATGATACATTGACTGAAATATCCGACAATTTCGGAACAGATCTGTCCAAACTCCTAGCGTTACCCATATCAGTCTATTTTATAAGCTGCAGTGAAAATATTTATACACTCCGCGTTGAAGCCATCCCTCAGTTTAGCAAGGGAACTGCCAAAAGTCATTGAATTCTAATATTTTCGTGTGCCTAACAGTTCCCAGCGGTTATTAATCGGGTTATGGCCGAAACTGTGAGCGATAAATTCAAAAATATGGATACTATGAAGACTCAGTGGGATCTTTGCAATGTGTGGTTTAGGAATTGTAATGTAATCCTGTTGACGAGATGCTAATTCCTCCATTTTCCATGTATTGGAAGACTGAAAAAACTTCGAAATATGCTCTCGTTTTGCAATGGATTTTAATTGCCAAACACGACTGACAACAAATTCAAATCAATCGTGCAGGAACAACCCATGGCCTAATAGATCGTTCGTCATTGTTACCTACGGATTACAATTTTTACTTTCTGATGCCATGCCAGCGGCAGTTGAGGATGATCCGATTTCTAAAGCTTTTCTCAATACTCAAGTACACTCCCTATCACCGGTACGTCCAACAGACCTGAAGTTCCGAGCCACTGGGATAGACGCTGATGCGAAGAAAACGCCCGTCTCCTCCGCATGCTATTCTTTGGGGGGGGTTGTCGAAGTGCCTAATGCACAGTCCTCTTTGAACTACTTGACAAAAACGTCGAACTGAAACTGCTCTGTTGTTGATTCTTCTGTTAGGTGCAAATAAACTGATTCGACACTTGATTCATTCGGCTTTAACGCTCTTAAGCCCGCACTTTTTAAAGCGTTACAAGTGGTGGCTTTTAGGAAACACATGGGGCAATACGCAGCACGCTAATACGGAACCGTCTGAACCCCGGCACATACAATTTGTCCACTTCGGACAAGTTTTCGACTGGTGACATTGTGAACAGTAGAATGAGTCACAGGTCAACTTCGCTGTCCCAGCCTTATAGTACATGGAGGAGTCGAATATTTGAGGATAGATTCATAGTGGACAGATGACTTCCTAATTGACTTTCAAATCAGCGGGAAATAACAGACGAAAGGTGTCATGGTACGGTAATGGCATAAGGTATACTTATAATGTTGTCGTATTTTATATCAACTTAGCGTTCATTAATAAGCTCCAGGATCAATCGTATGCTTCGTTTACGCAGCTTCTAATTGGGAAGGTAAGCAGGTTGCACTTCGGCAAAAATGAACTTTGTGAATATTGTATCAACAACAATTAGGCAGAGGAAATTGATCATTCCAACACTTTATCTATCTAACTTGCGGTTTACTTCCAACTCTGCAACAGTGTTTCTGCATGTACCTGATCTCCAATTTACCTAACTTAGGACCTTGAATATTTAATTTTGCCTTAAATGCATTGACAACTTTCATTCTTTATCATATGTAAAGGAACTTGTTTCACCTTCTTCGCATCGAACCCGAACCGGGTCCAAACTGTGAAGTAAAAACTGATGTTACATGAGGTGTGTGAAAGAGGGACGTGCGTTTGTAAAAATTACAGCGAGTGACAACAAGTGAACGTTTTAGTCACCGCGGCGGATAACTATTCCCTGCATTATTCGATTGAACAATTGCTATGAGAAAGATTATCGTTATAACCGAATTTTCGGTTTATCATCAATGCTGACAACGCAATGTCATTGACCAATACTTATTCCTATTTGTATATTGTCTCCTGCCGTAGAAAGTTCACATTGAGTGCGACTGATTCATAACTTCCACCGGTGAATCCCGTCAACCGATGTGTGAATTCTGTTGCGGACGAACCTTGAGGTGTATTCGTCACGCGCATGTAACACACCACTCCTCACTGAAACGCATAGAAATCGGTGTATCCTTGTAAAGAATCACACGCATTGCATATCTTCCGAATACACGGAGATTTAATTCCGCGCACGACGCATAGTTTTACGAGGCGCTTCGGTTATTCAGTTCGGGTTTCCGCCAATGGTTGCAGAATAACCCCAGGCGGTTTGGTGTGCGTCGGATTTTCAATGTCGCTCAACCAGTCAAAACTGGCCATTACTGAGAAATAAACCTTCCTCTGAGCAACGCTAGCTTTTACTCATTGCAAGAGATCTATCGCCACCGCATCATTCATTGATAGCAACCCCAAAAATAATGGTTAGTAGTTTGAAGAAAACGTCTGAGTTCGAATGATACATGACCGGTAGGTAGAGGATAGATACACATTGCTGATGACTTGTAACGTGAGCAAAATAGCGACGAGGTGTGCCCAAGTTTTTTTCAGTGGCTCATTGAAACCGCAGGACGAGCAGCTGTCCGAAGTGCTTCAAGTCAATAATGAACTCGATGACGATGCAGACGGACAATGTGTACAGTTGGGACGGAATATCACCAACCTGCTACACTAACACAACTGATGACTACGGAAATAAAAATACGGGCGGAGCTCGATCAATGTCTTCAAGAAATATCTAACTCACCCGAAATACAAGAATTCACTTACGTCAGTGTGAGTATGCGCAAATATTTTAAGCAGTTGGAGCCCCAAGCAGAGATAATGCGACTAAGGACGGATCAAGATCGTGATACTGAATGCTATCTTTTCGCAACTGTTATTACGTACTTCAGCAGTGTAGATCCTTTACACTAAACTGAATGGGAAAGACCTTTTTAGTGGAAAAGCCCCTCATGAAGTATTGGACACAATGGACTGCTCTCATTGTGTTAAACCGAAGACAAAACAGCTGAGAGTTGCACCTTGTGGCAGATAAGAATATCGTCTCAGAAGCTATGGAAACCACTGTGCTGGTGTTATATATACGTCGGGTTTCGTTGACAAAGCACTAATTTTTACCTGAGCCGGAAAGTTCACTAACAGAGAATAACAAATTCGACCTGTGATCCACTCAAAGAAGTGGGAAAAGCTTCTCCCTCTACTGGAACTCATCGACAACGAGGGAATTCCCTTTTGAAATATGAATACCTAGTTTAGTTGTCTGGGTTTCCGTGGCCGAAATTAAACGCATTGGATTATGTGTAGTCTTCTCCCTAAACGACCAGTTCAATGGGAACTCGGAGAGCGAGAAACAAAAAAAACATTGTTGCTGGGCAACGATTCTTGTAGTATTCAATTGCTGAAGGAAATGCATCTGTTTCGGTCCTGTTGTGATATGATAGAAATAATGATATCACATCACAGTAAAGAGTAAAATAATGTGATTGGTACGGCAGCAATAAAATACTGCAGTTGTGACGCACAACAAGCGGTAGACGCTAATAATGTCAAAACAGACACAAAAGTTGTTCAATACAATAGATTGCACGTAGGATGAGCGAGTGAATGCAAGTACCCAAGCGTAGTAACTGCGGTCTATGTGTCACAGGAGTGGAAAGAAACAGAGCGATGAGAAATGTCGCGACGGTTCACGTGATAAATCATCTGTGGCAGGAAAATAAATGGAGAGGAAAATTCCCTAACAGGTGTACATATAGTGGAAACTTTTTAAATACGGTCATTTGAATAACCCCAGCTGACGTTAGAAAAAATGTTAGAACAAAGGGAATAATAACATGTGACGATCAAAACGTTAGTCATTTTTCTTTTGGGATTGCACACAATTTTTAAGTAGTTGCCTGATCTTATGGAATTTGTAATCATGATGCATTTTAGTCAACGCTCGTTCTTCATCTCTCGCATATCGATGTAGGGACTGATTTTCATGCTTGAAACCCCACCGAGAATCTTCATGAACACACTTGCCACGATAGAAACACTCTGTTCAGGCTGTGTGCACGTGAACGGGACCGAGAGAAAATTGCTGATAACATTTAATGGCGCAGCTATCGCAGTGAGAAAACGAATTTCACGGAACAGGGTTATTATGGTGTGGCCAGAAAACAGTGCACGGTGAGTTATTGTCATCTGAAATGGACACAAAAATAAAATTTCATTTGGTCATAAAGGAGGGACTGCGCACGCGTGTGTTTACAGTTGCAACTAGGGGGAGCTGAGCGACCAATGTTGATATGCACGCACGCACTCGCGCTCACAGGATTCGAATACACAGCCCAGAGATGGAGCAACGATGAAGTCAACCTTACCAGGTTTGGGTGGAACACACATCCGGTGCATCCACATAAGGTCGGAATGAATCGCACAAGTGTTTTGCAATTGGCACGCATGTGAAATAGGAGCACCATTCACAGCGGAATACCCCACCGAGATAGAAGAGAAAAATTAATCCGAATGCGAACACAAGCCACAAAGCAAAACAGATCAACTCGATCGGGACACGATGGGGTCGGAGAGGAGTTGTGGTGATGGTAGAATGCGCGGAAGACGAACTGTGACTGAAGGTCGCAGAAATGGGAGTGGTTGGTGAGTGGCGTGAAGTTTTCGCACCACAATCCAATTCGGGTAGAATGGGAGCGCACAGTCGGGGATAGGGTAAAAGCACAAACGAGGACAACACACCGGAAATCAGACCGCCTAAATGGGCGAAATTGTCGAACCAAGGAAGAAAGCCGCAGATGAAGAAACCCAGGAGAATGAAGGCAGATTTGCACAGGCCCAGACGAAGACCAATCACAGGTTGAGTATAAAACAATTGGATAACGAGGCGCAAGCTGATCAATGCGACAAAACATGCCATCGGGCCAGTTCCAATCTGCGAATTGAACAGATGAAAACAGCATGAGCAATCTTCTGTTTCGTTGACACACGAAGGTCAAACGTTAAAAAACCAGGTAATAACCAAATAACGGAAACGGAGATTTAAAAACATATAGAACGCCATAACATTCGATGAATCCGAGAGTCACCTTTGAGAGAGAGAGAGAAGAAACCCGTCAGTACGTTTTGCAGCAGCGGCGTTGGGTCATTTGAGATGTGACATGGTATGATGAATACAGTTCGCCGCTTAAATGAAGACCCAAAAAGTATCGCTGATATAGGATACAACTTTTTTAAACCAAAAAATGTTGAATCAACTCCAACCTTCAATCAATTTGGTGAAACAGAAAAAAGGAGAGTTGGTCTGCTCTACAGCCAAGAATTCTCAGTAACTTCCTGGATGGGTAGACACAAACTCAATGTTGAATTCTCTAAAAATAGCAGTTTCTGCTTGGGTTCTATGACATTTCAATACAAAATGCACTTACAAGTGCACCGCCCTTGAATAATACCAGCCTCCAAGATTTCTTCTTCTTTTGAACAACCTCTCCAATGCTATGGCTTCAAAACTGGACTCTAAAATTCGCACGTGATTACTCGATAGGATTTGACGATGTTAGTGACTCACTCACTGTTTGCTATTTGGAGTCGTGAATACGAAATCTTGACGTCAGAAAGTTACAAATTTAGTTTATTGTCGTTGCTTTTCACTCAGTTATGAAAAATGCACTTTGAGATCCGTGACAATATGTGATTATCCTCTTTCAGCATACGAAAGCAAATTCGGATTGAGACAAGCACCATGTGGAAACTTTGCAAGAATGGATGTCTTGCATTGGCGCGTCACTTCAGCAACACCAACTCCGCATTTACAAATGCAGAAAATGCAGAAAGTGATGCTGCAAACGTGCAAATGTGGGATTGATTCAATGAGCATGATAGGCAAAATCAAAAATCTACAGAAAGACTACACAAAATATCGAAGATAAGTAAATTGAAAATGTCGTCAAATATATAATCCCTGTGGCGTCATGTGCATACTTAGTGATGAAACCTTTCGCAATGGTTCGGAGTTTCGAAAAGTAAACAGAGAGCAAGATAGAGGATAAAATGGCATCCTGTGGTATTCCAGAATTGATAGAGATGTGGATCAGATTAAGAACACTTGCAACAAGGAAAATTTAGCCTTTGCTCAATGGTATCAAAAATGCGGATAGTCGGGCAACTTGTAGTGAGGATAGCAGTCTGAAACTATTATTGTAACCAAAGACATCGCTATGAGTAAGGAAAAATACACTACATATTTTCCAAAACAATAACGAGTAGACAAATTGAATGGGAGAAATCTCCATATCTTCGGAGGGCGTGGTACAGTTGATGAATCAAGACTGAGGACTGGCATGGTAAGCGTGTCTAGGATTGCTTTCATCGTAGCATGTGATCGGTTTTAGCTGATTTACGTGCCGCACCCAAATCGGGTACCAACGTTCCCCGGTGTCGCTGCACAGGGACAACAGTCCATCTTTCCATTGTGTAATGTACAACAGCCCCATGATTGGTTGCTTCCCCCTTAATAAAAAATGGGGTCATTGTGTATTCCATAAATAGGAAGCAAAAATGAAAGAGCAACAAAGTCTCGTGCAAACATTTTCTAGTCCGTATTAAACGACTGATCCCGCGTACAATAGTGTTAGTTGAATTGAAAAATTTGCAGGACCTCTCTGATGATAATCTCCTCTTTGAATTTCTCAAGTTCCGTCTTTGAAGTGTCCACGAACTGGATGTCAATTAAACCAACCCTCTTCTAAATCAGTACCGTCAAGAACAAAATGCGAAATTATTCCCGTTTGAGTAGTGATGAGAACACCAAATAGCAAACAAGCTCGTTTTCGGTGCTACCTCAACTGGCTAAGTACAGCACAATTTATAACAGATTAAAACAGGTGGGGAGAGGAGACAAACATCTGCGAAGGAAATCAGAGTTTAAGGAGAGATGATGGACATGTGATAATTGATGTTCGTGAGTGTGTATGTCTGTGTGTGTGCGTAGAAAGTGAGTGCTTGTGAATATGTGGGTTTGTGAATGAGTGGTTGATCATAAACGGAGGTTACGTCACCAGATTGTTAGTGGATAACCATGGTAAGACCAATGTTCTTACAAACTGTTTCTGGGCACACAAGGGGTGTGTGTGTCCATCATCTCTCCTTAAACTCTGATTTCCTTCGCAGATATTTGTTTCCTCTCCCCACCTGTTTTATTCTGTTATAAATTGTGCTGTACTTAGCCAGTTGAGGTAGCACCGAAAACGAGCTTCTTTGCTATTTTGTGTTCTCAAGAACAAAATGTTGTTGATCAGAGTGCCTCCGTGGAATGGAAACGAAACGGGGGGAGGGGAGAAGGACTGTTTGAAATGATTCTCACTGTATACCGGTATTAGGTTTACAATTCAGAGTATCTGCATTATCCCGAATCGGATTATATATGTATATATGAATATCTGTATACTCAAGAAAACGTAAAGAAACACCGGAAATAGGTCGATAGGAAATTAGGAAGGGATCAGCAAAGGGTTGCTTGAAACCCTAGGATACGGTATAATCTGCTACAGCCCACACGGTAATTCTGAACGTAGCCTGCCGCTAATAAGTCAAAATGAAAGGCTTAAATCGAAAGGAAATTTCTAGTTTTTTCTCTCGAATGAATTCTGATCAGATCCTGCGATTCAACAGTTAGAACAGAAAAACAGTAAAACAATGATTGAACGGAAAACCTATACAGTCACCTACGATCTTCTGTCAAAGGAAGCGCGAGAACGTCCCATATTGCCGACAGAAAAACCCCAGATTTTGCGACTCTAAGTCTGCCCAGCGATCGTCTTTGACTGCCTAATTGCTCTTCCCCAGACTTATTTCCTGGAAAAATCTCTATTGAAGTGAACGTCAATGGTCAGGAGAAAAGCCGAGATGTGCCCCATCAGTTGGTCCCGAAGGCTGAATCTCGTCCGGCCACAAAGTTTGATTGTCCACGCACAACTAGAAGTGTCACTAAGGCATAGTCATTCTCTGTAGTTAATTGGGCCCGGCAGGCATGTAAACCATCACACAACGTCAAGGTAAAGTTTTGCGCTTATACATACATTGTTGTACACACATCATGAAAATTGGATTGGCTAGCAAATAAACGCACTTGATAAGGTTGAAAATAAGCGGCCAGAAAGTTGCCCACACTGCCGGATAGCAGATAGACGAACATGACACGCGCCCAGCCGATAAATTTCTCCAAACTACGAACGAATGTCAGCTGGATGAACACAGTCACCCCAAGCTGTAGAATACTGAAAGTGGAAGCGTAAATTGAGTGCTCAAACAGGTAAAACAAAATTTGGCGTAACTGCTGAGACGCGCATAAGGAATAAAATATACACGAGAGTTTGAGATCGTGCGCCAGTAACACGTTGCAAACAGCCCCACGATCGAAAACATCTATACATTCTAGAACTGTAAAGGATTAATGAATGCACACATCCCAATCTACCCAACTAGAACATCTTCAATTCAGGAACCAGTGCACCAAATACAAAGTATGGGACGTATGATGCAACTCAAGCTTCACAATCACAATGTCTCAAGATCAGAATCTATGTGCGTGAACAGTTACGGACCGATTTGAACAAAAAAACGCGCTCGAGCATTACCTATCACGCCCTGTGTACACGTGATCCACAGAGAAAGAAAGAGCATGCATTCTGACGGGGGTTGAGTGAATACCGATATCACGAGTCCAATCACAGACCGGAGCATCAATGCTGGTTTTGTTTGTGTATGTACTCATGTGGCACTGTACCCAGTGCATTCGAACCAAACGTTTCTTTAGGTTCCGATGAATTCGCATAGAACGCACAGAGACAAGCAACTTCCGACGATCCATTAAAACAACCACTTCATTTTATTGTCAGTAGCGTGAATCAAGGTTCCTTGACTCGATACCTACGAACAGTATGATTTTCTACCGGATACATTTCGGAGGTATGCAATTTGCTTTCTTTTCCAGATTTAAAAAAAACACCGGAAAGATTTAAAGAGATCGAATTCATGAGGAAAAAACAGAGACGGTGAGAGTTTACTCTCTTTATGGCTAAAAATAAATATAGAAATATGTGAAACAATCGCTTGGCAAACTGTGAGGTAAAAAAATCAACAACATGAGAGGGGGGTGAAAAGGAGACTCGCAAAAAGTGCATACTCAACAAGAGCAACCATTTGTATGAACTGATCACCGAGCAGCAGATAAAATTCGAGGGGTAGGAAAGAAATTTAAAAAACTATGTGTCAAACCAATGGAAAATGTACAAGTGTTGATCGAACCCGTGCGACATGACTCTCAAGACATAAATGTATTTAAATTTCCAATATCACACATGCATATTTATAGCTGTGGGTAAAGAGTATTTATTCCGAACTTTATCTCTCTCTCTCAATACAACGTGCTAAATTCTTATGTGCAACTAGTCGGGCTGACGCGACCATGAGTGTCACAATGAAAGTAGCAGTGTTATAAATTCACAAGACATTGGCGGAACGGGACGAGTGATTTAGTCAGACGACAGTGTCGGCGCAACTCCTTTAGGTTGGTGCCTGAGTCCTTCAGTTGCCTGAACAGCAAGGGAATTTATTCCCGGTGAGTGCTCTGACTGCATCCGTCAGTCTGAATACATCAATGGTCTTTCTGGTATTAATTATTCGAATCGTCTGCTACAGGCCTTCGGGTAGGCTCCTCGTGAAACAGTTCACGGGTAATATCGCACATGCTGCTTCTTCCAGTGTCAGAGAGCGCTTGATCTAACAAATCGCGCAGAACCACGGCGTGGTGTCCACGAAAACTCAGGGATGACATGGGAATCTAACGATCATTCCTCGGTGTGTGTGTGTGCACTACTCACAAATGCGAGCATTACGCCACAACAGTAGTAGTTTGGAAGTCACAGTGCAAACTGAGAAAACATCTGATGCAATACCACAAAAAATTCATCCTAATAAGTGATTATAATTTCACGGAGATCGTTATTATGGACAACCCGAGTCTTCGAAACAGCTAATCTTTTCGCATACGGAGCATCTTGCTCGTCAAGCGAGGAAAGGTCATCCGTGGAACGTTTTTCCGAGAACTGCATTTCACCGGGTACAAAAAGTAGATATCCATCCCTTTGAGTGGCCGCGGAGAGTTGTCCTGGTCAGTTCAGTTCAGTTGCGAAGCCACCTCTGTACACTGCTTTAAGTAATACTTCTTAGGAACACCACTTACAGATTAGCGTTACCGCCCAAGTGGTCATATCAGGGCTTGGGTTAACGTGGTCAAATAGCCCATCTGGCAATAGGCCTTCGAAACAGAAATTACGTCTCGACCTGTATGTACATAGCAGTGATTCGAGATATTCAAAAGGCTGACCTATTCCAATGTGGGAAAACTATTTGCAACAAAGTCAAAGTAACTATGGTTAATGTCAATGACGTAAGTCGACTAATGCGAACTGTGACAGAGAGGAATTTCGGTACACACGTGTGTATGTGAATTGAATGCGGGTAGCGTTCTCAAATGGTTTGAAAGCTACTTTTCGGAGAGGTTGTGCATCGAATTCACGGGGCGTGTTTTGTGAGGCGGTTAAAAGTTCAGAAGGCTCTTGTATCACACATGAAAACTTGGTCCATTCTGTTGTTACGGATCAGGAACTGATCCTGATCTACGCGCCTGACGTCAGTGAACCGTATCACAAACAATTTAGAAGATATAGAAAAATGTTGTACTTAGGCAGGAACGAATAACTGCTCGTGAGAGCACACAGATGCTTCATGGTACCATCACTAGTGGGATGGCGACGCCGAACACATGGTTACACGTACGGTGTTTCGTGAATAGTGGCCTGGATATCCAGGTGACAAGGCTGGAGGTTATACAACAAGCTCTCGACCGAGCAGGTTCATGTGAGAGCGTGCACGATCTTTACAAACAGACAGGATGGTAATACTCCTGTTAGAGGACAAACCATACACGAAAAGAGCGTGGGTGAATCAGGGGTCCAATACGAGTGTACGCACTAAGTTTATGGTTTAATCGACTGTTTCAGGACTTGAATCAGTCAAGCAACTGAACAACCTGTTTACCTTTGTGTACAAGATACAGCGGATCCTAAATCAGCAAGTAACTAACTTCGCTCATCTTAGCACTAGTTTCTAGGGGTTATCATTACTATTTTAATTTCCATTACGGTGGCTGGCTCCTTGAAGAGGATTAGCCGGCAGGCATGATGATGGAGTTTGGCACGAGAGTCGTACTCAGCGTCAGATGTTTTTTCTTCAAAGGTACGCATCTAGCCTTTGCATAGCAAAGTGCTCACTGCAGGGTGGCATTGATCTTGATGGATGGTTGCCGGCGGCTACGTTGGAGCTCATTCACCATTCGGTGTATGTAGCAGCAGCCTAGAGGTCCTTGAATTACAAATAGTTTGTCAGGCTTACTTCATACCTCGGTTACACTCAACGTGGCTTNGCTTAGCCAGTCTGTCGAACCATCTGCCGGGATGTAGCCACTGAGGCATGCCTCGGATTCGAGCAGCCAACGGTAAGACTTGATTAAATGATGGAGACCAAAGAGGAGTAGGATTCACCTAAGGGAACAAGACAAACACTACCTACTCAGAAGTGTACTCTTATCTGATACCCCCATGCATACGTAATCATTCGATTGAAAAAAAATCGGCATTTGATCTGATTTGGGTCCAGCATAACATTCGTGATATACACAGAAAAACTTGGGCGTAAAGGCTCGGTAGCAGTTTAGATTGGTTTTCACGTCAACTGCTTCACAATTTTTCAGTTCCTGCTTACTTTGACGGATTTCATACGAAAATACTACATTACTCTGCTTGGGATGTTCCACAATGTTCAGTGCGATCAACAAGAAAAGGTGAGATTTATTTTATGGCACGCTCTTGTGTGACAAGTAGTAGAATGGCTAAAGCACATAATCAAGCGCAACTAAAAATCAATCATAACCGGTAAACCGGGGTATCGAGAAGGGTGAAACAATACAATGGGCAAACACGTTAAAGCACACTGGAGTGTCAGCTCAACTTAACCGTTCAAAAATCTGCACCAGTCCATATCCACTTCATCAAAAGAACGACCGGCCGCCGACTACGGACGCCAAGGTTATTATTCTTATCTGAAAACGCATCATTCTGTTTACATTTATGAGATAACATGATATATCACTGAACCCAATGGCAGTCTTTATATCTCTTCACGTATAGCTGTGCAATAAACGTAGCATGGACGATGCAAACAGAGTAAAATAACAGCGCAATGAAGGAGAAAGATATGAAGATGTCAGCCAGGTTTATCTTCCTCAAAATGATACAGCAGGGTATCCCTAAATAGATAAAGAAACAAAATGTTTCATGCGATAACCAACAGCATTCACCATCGATTTTACCCGCATGAATATTATCGGGGATCCGTGATTGACAAATTTATGGGGGAACAAGTTTTTTCAGCACTCTTTGACTTGTTTTATTTTCACGTCAAGTCGAGTGACCGTTCCCCCAGAGGCTGTAATTGTTGCATCCGGTTATCAACCTTCCCAAGAAACATTTTCCCTGATTCTAAAATAGCAATGGAAACATTGCGGTGATTTAGGGGATTACAGTTACCATTGCCCCGTTAACATGAGACAGCGCATGCATGTCGGAGTGGTGGTTGCCAACACCAACATCACCACAGTCATCAGCCGGCAAATCGAGAGGCCGAAACTCACCCCTCGTGAACAAATAGAGCAGTGAGCACACGATAGAATTGATCTGGATAGAGACCATTCCCGAACGGAAGCATTCCACAGGTGTTTTCCAAACAATTTACCTGTGAATGAGAACGACAAAACCACGTATGTGCAGCGAAAGAGATTGATTGATCGATTGAGAACTGCGTGTACCATCGGATGGAACACAGTCAACACGTGTGTAAAAAAATCAACTCAGGAACAATGGGATTTTGTGAAGAGGTACAAAAGCATGTCAATCGAAACGACCAACAATTTTATGACTATACAATCAATGTCAGTTGAAGAGGTAAATTATGCAGATGGAGCGGAACCCAAAACATTTTCTGATTGTGAGAAATCCACCGATCGCGCAAAAGCATTCCAAAATATATGGAGTCAAATGAACTAGGATTTATAAAAACTCATCACCCTATCGGAGCGTGGATGATACTCGTGGGTATTCGTGGAGCGAAAACATGGCAGGACAAATGAGGAATAATTGAATACCATCTGAATAATACGCCTAAAGAGCTCAGCAAACTTCGCGCGAAACACATTTATCTTTGTTGTTCCCCTAACAGTAATCATGGACGTGCAGTGACTCTTTTAGTGAAATGTAAGCTTCGGTGCTTGCGAACGCTACACTTAATGCAAGGTTTCATTTATTTCTATCTGACTCTCCACTAAGTCATTCTGTCCAGATTTCTCATTGTCTTATGTCTGTGTTTTCTTACTGTAATCATACCGACAAATACCTATACAGTTGTTTTATTTCCTCGAATTCAACATCAGCTCTTCGAAAGAAGCATATTACTGAATTTTGAGCAGCTTTAGCGCGACACGTAAAGCATATTGTGAAGAATAATAACATCCATAATTTGCGTTACAGTGACGAGTTTTCGATATATCCAACGATCGTTTTACATTCAGGGTATCGATGAAATGTTCATCGGTATCTTATACTGTGTCCCCGCATATCGCCAAGTTTAAAAAACTGCAAACATTTTCAATGAGGCTCAAGACGAGCTGAGGTGTGATCATCAGATAGATGTTAGATGTCAGTTTTAGGATGCTTAAGCATGCTTTGGTGTTTAAATGTGGGGTTTGTCAATCACGGAACTTCTCAAAACAGGCCTGCTTGATGTGAGATATCAGCCATGTGAAGTACGTAGGTGTGACGCTTGAAAGTAACCTTCGCTGGTCTATACATACCCAAACTGTTGCTTTCAAGCTAAAAGTTCTCTCTTTTCTGATAAGAAGACTGTGTCACTTCTGTTCGGTGACAGGAGCTTTTTAAACAAAGTATTTTCGCTATACCCGTTTACTGCTCCCCTATGATTTTCCTTAGCTTATTGAAGGCCGATTTCAAGCTGCTGAGGTGTGACCTCTCAATGATCGGCCGTGTCTCCCAGGTTCCGTTATTTATTCTGATTGACAATATGTGTAATGCTTATATGGATGCCTGCTCGAAGTTTGCTGACAATATCCCATCTGATTGGACCTATCTTTACGTATTGACCTGTGTGCATTAAAATCCCACTCCTCCACCTTTTCCATCTCGGATATCTGTCCAGTGAAACTCTTCGGTACCACTTCTTCCCGGATACTGACCGGTAAGGAGTGTTTGTTCTGAGCTTCCTGATGCATTTAGTAATTAATTCACATTTTTGCAAGTTTGATGTCACACTTTTTCCTTTTTTTTGCCAGTATTGTGAGAGTAATCTCTTTTTGGCTGAAACCTTGTATACCTCGCTAAAGCTTTATTACTATACAAGATGTCAGAGAGGGCATTACCTCAGACAATAACCCTACCGCTGGGAGCATTCTGCGTTGAACTGTACGTAAAAATAAGCCTGATCAGTCCGCGGAAATTTTGGTTTTCGGTTTAGGCCCAAATATTTAGATCTGACGGAAAGAAACAAACTCACAAAGTGAGTGAAAAGGCTGACAATGATGGATAGTTCACTATGAACCTTTGAAATGTTTGAGTATAAATCCTGATTGGACCAAAAGGCAATAAAACCTTCTCAGAGGTGAAACAAAGTTTAGATTGAGATACAGATTCAGGGAAGAATGATCTATCTACTTGTACGGTTTCGATTCATTTCATACGGTTGGACCGAACGGCCTTGATCGTTTTTCGGTTTCTCAAAAACCACAGTGGTGAGGAAATGTGAAAAACTGAATGTGATTCTGGATAACTGAATCAGTGATAGGGCATTAAAGGAAATATCTACTTACTAGTGTTGTGTGGACAGAGGCCGCACAAATTATCGCCTCAACAAATTTGACTGTCTTTATGCAATCGTAAAATGATTGTAAATTCTAACCTCGATCCCAATTAGATAAAGTAAAGTTGGATTAAAAGTGACAACAATTCAGATAATGAGACCAACATTATATTTTCATTGAGCTATGTGATCTCAAGGTCCACCATCGATTCCATAGAGCCTATCAGAAACGAGATTTAGGTGTTGTTGGATTGCAACTGAACAATTTTAGTGTTCTTACTCCCTGTCTTGTTCATTGAATATAGGAATATAAAATAAATTTTCAACAGGGGGAGCCACAGTCATACAACTGCTGCTTAAAGAAATATAGAAAACCGTAGGATAGGTGACGATGGCGGGGTTAAAACTCAGGACCTTAAAGTGGCTACTTTGACGACCTCACAACCGTCCACTCTTAGAAATGAACATACGGCGAAACTATAGATTCCATTGACTCATCGGGTCGTCTAATGTTATCTCCTAATCGGATTAGTGGAAATGCATGAACGTACGCGGACCGGCAACCCCACAACTACTCACCTGAGAACACAGAGCAGCTTTCTCATTGTAAGTCCCGTGAACGAAGTCACAGTGTTCTTTGGTCGTCAAAATACAGCCACCACGAATACCCAAACAACAGGGTCGTGCTGTGACCTCGCATGTCATGTGACGTGCCTCGGCTTCGTTTAGAGACAGTTTTCGTGAATGTTCGCATACCTATGAGAACAGATGAATACGCAGAAGTAAAAGATAGTACAACGGA